AAGAAAGGGGGTGGGGCGGGGGGGGGGGGGGGGGGGGGGGCTCATTAATGAAACCTCATTAATGACAACAGGGCCCCCAATTAATTAACAAAATGGATGTTACATCCTTCTAAGGAAAGGGATGGTCACCACGGTTCTGTTAGCCCGAGCTGACCAGCAGTTTAAAATGCTGGATAGGTGCTTGGATATTCAGCCAACAAAGCAAGCCAAGAACTGTGGGCATGGTGTTTAAAGATAAATGAACTGGTTATTATTGAAGTACTAAACAACACTGACAGGAACATGAGGGGAAAGGAAGGAAGACCGTGAAGAAGGGTGACACTTGACTAATAAAATGGAGACTCTGAAGGGAGAAATCCTTTATGGATCAGTTGCCTTGTCTGCCAGCAGTGGCACTATTGTCAAGCAACTAGGCAGCACTCAAGCTTGCTTACCCTGATGCAGATGCAGACACCCAATGACCCTTTCACTGCCACAGAAAACAACAGACTAAACAATAATAGATGAGGACAACTCGAATAGAAAATGCACATCAAACATGTGATCCTGTTCACGCTCGCAGATCATGGAAAACATGAAAGATCCAATCTCTCCTCAACCACTAAGTCTCTCAGGAGCTAGACACCTTCAGTGACAAATATCACACCCTCATGAATCTGTTCCATCAAATTGGTCTCCCTGCCACCATGCCGACACCAACACATGCACAATGACCCACACAACAGAGCACTGCTCCGCATCTTTTATCCTAACCAGTCACCCCACTTGCTCCAACCAGTGATCTCTCACACTTGTCAGTCATATACTCGATACGTTTTTCCATCCCTTCTTCCAAACATCTTTTAGCGTACCTCAGCAAGGTAGCTGTCATTTGCACTACACTTTTTTTCCTGCCAATCATAATGGGAAAGTGTGCATGCTCTATGTTGAGTTACTCAGCAAGTTTCACCCAAGAGTCAAAAGTTCACCTTATTCTAGTAACTTCTGAACATCAAAAACAACAGTGCTTACCTTGCCATGTTGAATCTAACTGCACATGCAGTTCTATTGCAACCAATAAGAACTGAAAACCAGGGGTCTACACCTCAAGAGCCAGAGTAAGGCAGGAGTCCTGCAGTCACCAGGGGGTGTCAGGGTCATACCTGGGGCTTCATCCTGCTATAGGGAAAAATATAAGCATGTTTTCACAACCCGCGTTGTAATTGAACCACAGATGTCTAGGAAGCAGTGGTTGGGGCTGATTCTATTCTCAGTTAATTTGCTTGCGTAGAATTTGGGCCCAATTTAGCAAAATGAAACGGTCCTTTATATATAAACAGAAGACTGCCCTAATTTTCATAATGAGCTCATTTATTAAGCAGCCTTCTACTTTGATATTAAAGTTACCTTTTGTGGGTGTATTAATAATGCAAATAACTACTCTGCTTCTGCACAATGTAAGACCTCCATCCCAAAGGCTCCAGCATAAGTCCATCTTAAGCAGCTGGTAATTTCACAGGAAAGTGAAGATGGGGCAACAGCAGCTAGATCCAGAGGTGCTGAAGGTAGACTTGATCTAGTTTTCAATTGTATCTTAACCAACCCAAGTTCCTTCTGTGGCTTCTAGGTTTCAAGTGGAGGCTGCCATTTAAGGAGGCAGGATTAGAATGATATTATTGAATTTATTTTAGTGAATATTTGAACCCAGGACTTCAATAATGAAAAACTCACATTCACAGCTTGGGCTGAGATTAATTGATTATTAAAAATTAAGCCTCTTTCCTTCTTGGTGATGGTATGGGAGAAAATCTTGTATATAATTTTAATGCATGTATTCAGTAGGGACAGCCATGTCCCTATTCAGAGTACCCAAAGGGCCCAATTAGGAGTCTATTTAGAATGTGAGTCTTTTTAAAGGGTACTCCTTTCTTAATTCTTGTCTTTAATGTTTATTTTTTACTCAATTCCACCTAACTCTCAGCTTGTGAGAAAATGATGAAAGGATGCATGTGACCTACCCACCTGGAATTATCTTACTAACAAAAATATTCTAGTGGTAGTTTGATAGGGGGAACACTTTCAAAATCTCTTCCTTCACTTAGATTCCAAAGTCCAATTGAAAACTAATAGGATTTAGGCACTCAAATACTTTGGCAATTAAAAAAAAATGGTAAATCTGTGGTTTTGTTTTTCAACTAGTGTGTGTGTATGCATTTGTACTTGCATGTGTATGTGTGTATTTGCATGTACTCTGTGGCAATTACTGAATGATAAGATACAAGAGAAACAAAACCCTATTCCTATAAAAGCAATGTAGATCCAGGATTGTGATATTCCTGTTGTGCTGTATGATGCACAAAACACAGCTATCACCTTAGTAATAAATAAAACTAGAGAATCCACCAATTATCACCAATATCACCCCTTATATTGACAAAATGCCAGAGTGGTGGAAACAGGAGAGGAAACTCTTCTGCTCAGACTCATAATAAGTCAATATTTTTTCCCAATGCAGACAATTAATTAAGGTCCACTCTAACATTACTTTTTTTCTGAGAGAGTGCATTTTTCTAATACAGTGTTTCAAAATCTTTTCTATACCATGACCTCATTATACACCTGAAAAAATTTCAAGAACTCCCATCTGACTAGAGAGAGAGATAAAGTTCTTGAATCCCAGGCTGAAACCTCATAATCTAATCTATTTGTCCATCTGTACTTGAAAAATAGCTCTTAATGCCTAGAAACTTGTCCAACACTTGTCACATCTAAACAGCTGGTCCAATAAAAAAATTACAAAAAATACTTGCCTTTTGACCATCTATTTCTAATGGAATTTCTGTAATATCTTGAATACTGGACACTAAATATCTATAGCAAAGTGTTTACTCTAAGTCTTAGTGGACCTGAGTCCAGATGATAGAACTGCAAGTGTTTTTAGCACCAATGTACATCTTTGGTAATAGCTTCACCTGAAAAAGTGTAAGATTGCATTGACCTGCCTTCACATCCATTGCTATGGTCCCTCAGGACAGCTTTGGGCACATTGGCAAAGTAGTATGGGGAGCTGTGATCTGATGCTACCTGTGGTGAATCTGTTTGGGGAACAGCTTTGATTTAATGCTTGTTGGTATTTATTTTTCAGTTTATATAATGCTCCTTATCATGGTCTCTTTTTGGTGAATTAAGGAGAATACTTACAATTGAAAACATATTTTAAACATGTGAAAAATGTATGACTTAAGTGTTAAGTCTTAAGTGTTAAGTCTTAACTTAAGACTTAGGTATAGCAACAGCATGGAGAACTCTTGCAGCCTCACAAAGCCAATTATAAGTTGGTGTCAGGGTCCACCAACAGAACAGCTTGAAGTTTATTCATTTAAAAAAATAATTTGCAAATTTGGTCAAGAAAGATTCTTCTCATTTCTGTCTCTGCTTATAGAATTATGCAGTGTAATAAGGTTTCAAAAAAACCAAACAAACCCCTCTTTGGGCATATAATACATGGGAACATATACTGAAGATGAATATTTTCCACTTTTCCTGAGAAGTTCCTTTGGGAGATATTGCCATGTGTTGGTGACAAAGAAATGGGTAAAAAATCTGAAGAGTGAAAGGCTGGATATTCACAAGTACTATTATGAAAACAACAGCAACTACTGCAGCAGTTCTCCTGTATTGCCATATTTTCAGGATGTATCCTGCTATGACTCTTCTGGTCACAATGTTTTCAATAGTTCATCATAGCCAAAGTGGCAGCCAAAGCCTGAAGCTAGGGAAAAAAAATTAGCTATAGTATTACACAGAAACAAGACTACTTCAGGAATGCCAGACTTGTGCTTCCTGGTTCACATTTTTTAAAACTCAGTAAAAATGTACTATTTGGTCACAGCATGCAACAATCTTAACCCTATGGAGTGAACAGTTAGTTAAGACCTGCCCGTTTTGTTGGTAGGTGGGGAACACCTCATTTGGGGGTTCTGTGCTCAAGGGGTTTTTAACTGGTTCAGTACAACTTTATTTACAACTGTTACCTACTCAGCAGAACTTGTAAAGTATGTTTTTTTTCTAAGACTTTCCATGTGATACAGCTCTATATATTATATTACACTTATAAAATACCACCAAACTCTTATGAATTAAAAGATAATTAGTGGTTCAAAACACATAAGACATTAGGCCAAAAGTGTCAAAAATGTCATGAAAGGCCATAAATCATAGTCTACT